AAAAAAAAAAAGTTTGAGCATGGAGATTTCAAAGAGTCATATACCCACTAGAAGAGGTCCTTAATGGATATTAAACCTGTACATTAGGGAGGTAAAATACAAAGGAGATCCTGGTGGCCCTTTATTTTGTTGATGATATATTGATGTATGAAAATGTTAAGTTAGATTGGTGTTGCTCTACAGTCTTGGCCGGTGATACCTGCACATTTCTTCTAATCGTGCGTGTTGAACAGTGTCCTCTAACACAGCCTACCTTTGGGATTTAAACCTTCATACTCTTTTTTGGTGGTTTATTATTGAAATGTATGTACTATTGTCGTGTTGGTAAAGACATTAACCCTTTTCAGCCTGCTACTTGTCTCACATTTCCACTCTGCTCAGTTGCTTGCAATGTGATTGTACAACTGGCAGTGCTTTTCTTACTAATATTATAGCTTACAGAATTAATCTAAAATAAGATAAGTCTAGATTAATTAATTCAGAAAATAAAACTATAAAAACCCACATTTTTAAAAAACTTTATTCACTCAGTGAAAAAAAGTAAATATATATATAAAGTAAAATATTTAAACAAATAATCAAAAATTAAATGCATATAATAATGATGATAATTACAATAATTAAATACAGATAAATAAAAAAGAACATGAATATACAGAAATACTTTCACCCGCAAATCCATGCGTCCATCCATACATACTACATGTATGCTTATTGTGTGCTACACATCGGCAACATTATCACGTACTAGAGGTGGACATTTAACACATAAAAAACCCACATCTAAATTAATTAATTCAGAAAATAAAACAACAAAAAACCATATTTTTAGGTATTTAACCATATAAAGAAAAGTATATTGCTTTTAGCATAATGACCAAAAAATTTAAGACAATACTAGATCTACTTCTTTAACAAATATTTTTGTAGCCCCACGCCTTAAAAAAGAAAAAAAAACAAGTTTGAGCTTGGAGATTTCAAAGAGTCATATACCCACTAGAAGAGGTCCTTGTTAATGGCTACATAAAATTTATGTAGTGTTGGTAAAGACATTAACCCTTTTCAACCTGCTACTTGCCTCACATTTCCACTCTTTGCTCAATTGCTTATAATGTGATTGTACAACTGGCAGTGCTTTTCCGACTAATACTATAGCTTACAGAATTAATCTAAAATAAAATTAGTCTAAATAAATTAATTCAGAAAATAAAACAACAAAAACCCACATTTTTTATATATTTAACCACATAAAGAAAAGTATACATTTAACCATGCATATAAAGAAAAGTATATTGCTTTGAGCATAATGACCAAAAAAAAAAGAACTCAAACAAGTACTAGATCTACTTCTTTAACAAATATTATTGAACACAAATGGGCACCAAGCATGCACACACAACTTTTTAAAATTAATCATCCATATATTTTATAATACTTAATCATTATTTTTATGTGGGCTTTAAGTAAAAATAAGTGAATTTTTGGGAAGTGTAGTGATCCCCAATACAAATCTTCACACAGGGAAATA